AAATTTTGCAATTAATCCTCTGAACACATGCGTGCTGAACCGTGGGCTAGTCACAGGTCATTATCAACTATGATCTGCTCCCTTCACTAAAATGTCACGGTTCCTAAACATGATAACAAATAATATAGATAAATAATGAACACATGTCAAAATGAAAACACAGATACTTACAAGACCAAGTAGGAATGTCCTTTATCATTTGTTTGCCCGCTGCTCTCCGACAAATAAACTTAGTGCTCTCTCGTGTAAAAAGAATTCAAAACACAACACTGATCTCTAACTCATGTCTCGCGTTGCCAGTAGTCATGTCTCAGTAGGGCTACAATTGCCATCTAGCGGTTGGGAATTGTAATTGCATTTTTATTTATAAAATGAAAGACAGCCGAATATCAATAATATCATATAATGTGTATGAATGTAACATTTAACAGCTTGTGGGATGTATGAAATCATATTATCAAACGCAAGTAAACTTTTGAAACATTTAAATTAGCTATGTTTCAAAAGTTTACTTGCGTTTGATAAGAAGCTGCGTGGGCGAAAATTACATGTAAACAATTTTAAGGCTATTTTGGCTATGCTCATCGCTGGTCTGTTTACTGGTATAGGGCTATAGCCAAACCGTTAAAATTAGACCACAGATTGCCTCGATTTCACCAGGTGGGCTAAAAGCAGACTACACGTAACCCATCCAATTTAAAACTAAATCGTGGCTACATATAGACCATGTCATGAAATGACACTTATATCTTTGTAGATATTATTGACACTGCGAACATGGTGGGATATCAACCATCTCATGCGCTGCCTGGCCAAAAACTACAGTGAATCAGGTTTGACTGTAAGTGGGCTACAGATAGCCGCTCGGACTACGAGTTAAATCGTGGCTACGCACAGGTTACGTATTGAACATGCCAAAGAAATGAAACCAAACACCTTGTAAACGCTGTTACTTTGCTTACATGATGGAATATCATACATCTCAAGTTATTTTGCCAAAAAACGACATGAAACCAAATTCAAGGTTATTTGGGCTAGATGTGGATTACACATAGCCGGACTATATCGGGTCTATACTTAACAGAGACTAACCGAGAGGCTATTGCTTGCTGGGAACTCTCTTTGCAGAACATCCAATCCCTGTTCCCTGCATCCCTCCTGCATAATCTGTTTGTCTTTTTCTCCTTGTAGCTGGAAATCAGCTCACAGACAATTTGCGGGCTATATATATATTTTTTAATAATTCCAGTCTCGTTCGAGAACTCTGGTCTGACGCACGTGGGTTCTCGTGTTATTTCCTTATCACTTCTCGCGTGGGTTTTGTTGTGAAATATAGTTTGCGGACCAGAGCTGTCAGTGATTCTTCCTATTGTGAAGTCATGCAATGTGAAACCCCCTGTCGCCGATCCATCGTGCAGTGTGAACACAGCAGCAACTGAATGCTACCCCAGATAATCATGCAGTGTGAAAAACAATGGCGATCCGACGAGTTTGAAAACCGTGCAGTGTGAACTCGGCATAACGATATGGACTGAATGCAGCATAATTAAGATATTGTTGCGGTTATTAATTAATGTGCCCAAAAACAAGAAAAATCTATTTAAAAAAGCATATTAATATTGGACATTATAAAAGATAGTTATATTAAATATATTGTACTGTGGAGTTTTGGAGAAAAATAAAGTCAGTTAAAATACATTATAGCACTGATTATTTCCTGCTTTTACTACATGCATTATTATTAACCCTTTCATTTTCACCCCTAAAACGAGCTAATGAAAAAAATTATTTAACTTAAAATTCTTATTAGTAGACATCTAACATATAGCCTCCAGTATTCTTTTTTTTTTTTTATCTACCAGTGGCATTCCGTCCATTATGTTCTCCGCATAGCCAGGCCATCTGAGAGAATGAGTTCACGGGCTAATTAATATAAACATGATTATGAGTTGATCCCTTGAGTGATTGGTCTAATTTCCGTTGCATCTTGCCAGTAATGCCTGATAAAGCAGCGTCATATAATGCTTTTTTAAAGATCATTATTTTGTGTATTTGGTGTAACAGGATATGTTGACATGCTTTAATGTTAAAAAAACACATTAATTTTCAAATACTGTACATTATTGTAGGTCCTCTATGCCCCGCCTCTCTCAAACGCTTCGTTTTCTACAAAGTCCCTCCTTCCGACAAGCGCAGTCTGCTCTGATTGGCCAGCTGACCCAGTGCATTGTGATTGGCCGAACACCGCAAGCACTCGTCGGAAATGTAACACCCCTTACCATAATCACGAGCTTCATCTTTCAAAATAAATGTAAAGACAGAGCCCGAAAGAGGAACAGAGTGTGACACTGTGACAGACACAGTGATGAAGCTGGTATGTGTTTGCAGTACACAAGCCACGGTTAAGACCCTGACATGCTGCATCAACACTAACTGCGGTTACTGAAACCATGCCTTCTTTCTTTGCGTGCACATTTGGGCGGCATTATGCAAATATTTCCACATAGTGAGGTAGATATGTGGGGGCGTGTTAGAACGAGCCATTTTAGGGGGGCGTGGCAGAGTCTTAACTTTGATAAAGAATATCTCTTTGGTTTTGAGACTTTAGTCTTTGCAACTTCAGGGATCTTATCTATGCACTAGTGTTAAAAACACTAAATTAAAAGTTAAAATCACTGAATTAAAAATGAAAATAAATAATAGAAATCAGACTACATTTTAACTGAAAAGAGGAATATACATTTACTCATTTGAGTAATTAGGGCTGTATTAGCCAGCTTACATTTAATTTACAGTTACTGCCAGAGGTGTGAACAAGTCGTTGTTTTGCAAGTCACAAGTAAGTCTCGAGTCTTTGCATTCAATTTTTGAGTCAAGTCCCGAGTCAAGACAGGCAAGTCCAAGTCAAGTTGCAAGTCCTCAACTTTAGCTTCAAGTCTTAAAGTCATTTGTGCTCTTTGCCCAATTTAGTGTCTGAGAATTAATTACCATATCAAATTTATAGTAATTTATATCAGGAAGAATATGTTTGACATAGTTCAATATCATGCGAGTTGGGTGCTTTTAGTAAAACTACTCGAGTTCCATTTAGGAATTGTGCCAAAATAGCACAAGCAGTGAAAAAAACTTTTATTAGTAACAGAGTAGCTAAGACAACAGAATTTCATAGAACTACAGCTGCAACATACTTTGCATGTGTGCATAAGAATATGTTTCTAGGTGTTATATCTAAGCCAATGAGCCATTTTTTGGAACCTCAATGAAACTGATTTAAAAACATGTGAGCGGAAACACAGAAAGAACTGCTTTGAAAGAACTAGAAGAAATAACTGCTAACATACTGTACAAGTGAGAGGAAACATGCAATATGGATGCAGACAAACTCATGATGTCACACTTCCCTTAAGGCGAGGAGTGAGGAACGGGGAGACCAGGCATACACGAAACAATAGTATTTTAATCCAACCTTCAAGGGAATACATGGGGTACAAAATACAAAATGGATATATTTGCATGACTTTCTAACATTTACAGATGAAGAATATAACTGTGACATGTCCATTATGCACTGTGGAAAACATGTCTCAAATGCATTAAACAGCACAAATATATTCGCTGTTTGGCATGGTGGATCGATTGATCAATGAAGGGCTGCTTAAGAATAAGCGTGAACATCAAATTATTGAACGTGGATCAAATTAGTGAGATTGTGTGAACCTAAATGGTCATTTATGAAACCGCTTTAGTCCCGATTGATTTGATAGGTTGTTTCAAGTCAGGTTTTGGACTTTAATCCCCGCTTTTCTTAGCGTCTTTTATGAAACAACCCCCAGATGATGTTTTGTTGATCTGTCACTGCTTGCTGCTGGTTAGAGCAGATTTATATAGAAGAGATCGACTTTATTGCTTGGTTTATTGGGTCATGTTTGATGAGGACATGGTCACGATTAAATGTGCTGGATCCAAAGAATAATTCAGATACGAGTTCATGATTTCAGACATTTGTTTTTTGTATGACTGAGTAAAGAAGATGACAGAGTAAAACTCTTCCCACATTGACTGCAGTGATACGGTTTCTCTCCAGTGTGGATCCTCTCATGTTTTTTCAGATATTCTGACCATTTGAATCTCTTGTCACAGTGTGAACACTTGAAAGGTTTTTCTCCAGTGTGGATCCTCTCATGTTTTTTCAGATAATCTGACCATCTGAATCTCTTGTCACAGTGAGAACACTTGTAAGGTTTTTCTCCAGTGTGAGTGCTCTGGTGCAGTTTCAGTTCAGCATCTCTAACAAAAGTCTTCCCACACTCAAAACACATATGTTCCTTCACACTGTTGTGTCTTTTCTGATGTAATTTTAAAGTACCCGACTGACTAAAACTCCTTCCACACAAAGAACACAAGTAAGGCTTCTCCTTTGTATGAACTTTTAGGTGGTCCTTCAGCGCATCTGACCTAAAAAAAGTTTTACCGCACTGATCACAGGTAAATGGTCTTTCTCCAGAATGACGACGCAGGTGTATTTTAAGAGTGCATGACTTTCTGAAACTCTTTCCACACTGATCACATGCGAACGGCTTCACTCCAGTGTGGATTGTCATGTGTTCCCTAAGGGCTGCTTTTTGTCTGAAACTCGTCCCACATTGATCACATGTGTGTGGTTTCACTCCAGTGTGGATTGTCATGTGTTCATTAAGAGATCTTTTACTTGTGAAACTATTCCCACATTGATCACATGTGTACGGCTTCTCTCCACTATGAGCTCTCTTATGACTTTTAAGACTGTGTCTGTATGCAAAACTCTTCCCACACTGATCGCATGCGTACAGCTTCTCTCCAGTGTGAACTCTCATGTGATCCTTAAGGGTTCCTTTCATCGTAAAACTCTTCCCGCACTGATCACATGAATACGGCTTCTCTCCAGTGTGGATTCTCATGTGATCCTTAAGGTATGATTTTATCGGAAAACTCTTTCCGCATTGATCACATGTGTGCAGATTCTTTCCAGTGTGGATTCTCATGTGTATTGCCAGGGTTCCTTTTACTGTGTAACTCTTCCCACACTGATGGCAGGTGAAAGGCTTTTTGGCTCTTCCTTTCAATAAATTACTTTTAGTCTGTGAGCAACTCAAAGATTTCTCACTAGTTTTGACATGACGATGTTTCTCCTCTGCCTCACTCAGTTCTTCACTCTCCTCACTGTCTTCCATTAGGTCTAAAATGAAAGTAAGAAAGGGTTAGTAGCGAATTAGCTCAAAGGGCAAATATTAATAATCATAACTTGTGGTAATTATAATATTTGGATCAGAATTAGAACCAGAGAATTTAAATGTATTGTACACAAAGTTTTATGTACTAAATCATGAACACAGAACTAGTCTACACAAACACACACACACACACGGGAAGTGAAGGTGGATGAACCGAACCATACAGAAGCAGGGGAAATTAAATCAAGTTAACGGTTTAAACGATACATCAGTTTCTAATTCACCTTGTTAATCAATGTAAACATACTGTAAACATTGTGTCAACTTATTTCGCAAGTATGGAGAACAGCGATAGATGGACGGACGCTGAAGTGCAGGCACTTGTAGCAAATGTAGCACTGCCAGTTGTCGTTGGAGATTCTTAGTCGTCCTTTCCGTTCTTTCAATCGCTTTACATATACGGTGACTTTCCATGTCCATTATTGTGAAACCCGCGAGACACAACAAAAACGCCGCTCCGATCACAGCGTCCTCCATCCTCCTGTTGTTAACGTTGTTTTTCTTTGTTTTCGTTGTTGAACGTTGCGCACAAATGACGTCGCTGTTGACCGGTTACTAGTACACACTGTCGGTGCGAATGCAACCCTTTAAATGGTACTGGGAAATATTTCGCGCAAAATTGTCCCAGTACTTTAGTACTGTACATTTAGTTCTGGAACTAAAGCGGTGCGAAAGGCCCTATGGATGTAAGTTGGGGCCTGCTGGCCTGCAATCCATAGACAAAGGTGAAGAGACTGCCGTGAGTGGAGAACTTGTGTGGATGCTCTATAAAGTCTGGGAAAAGTCACACCTCTCACGGTTGGCTTGATCAATGAGAAAGTTGTAATATTAAAAGAAAGCTGGAAAATTCTTCTGTTGGGAGGTTTCATGGCCCTTTGTCTGCAAGCATGGTTAGAATGGTTCTGGTAGTCTGTGTCTATTTATACTCTGATTAATATAACAAACACATGCTGCATTCTATGAGGAGGTGATGTACACCAAAGTGTGAGTCATTAAATGAGCATTTATTCAATAGGAGACACAATAATGTAAGGTAACGCTGAGTAGTACTATCATAAAACAGTATACAATACAACAGACAATGGAGAGAAGTCCTTTATGTCACAGCCTTTATGTGTATGTCCTATGGACTTATTAAAAGTGAGTTCAGAGCAAAAGCTCTGCATTCCTGGTTGTAAATCGTTCCTGCCTGGGAGTTAGCTGTAGGTGGGGGTCACTACTTACAACCTTACACACAGTTTGTTGGGAAAGGGGTTTGAAAGATTATTTGTTAAAGTCTGTGTAAAGTCAATTCTGAGAATTGTTTTTAACCACATTATAAATGTTAGAAATGCATTGCTGAAACATATTACAAAGACTGTGAACTATGTAGTACTTAATTGTGCAGTTGGACTGTTAAACAGTTTTTCACCATTTTCATGTTTTTTTTGGGCAGGGCCAAAATCATGACTTGATGACGAAGTGGAGTCACTGAGCATGGCCCCTCCTCTATAACACTATAAGAGGTGTGTTCAACTTGAAGCAGCGCTGCGCGGCCATAGACCAATCGGTGTGTGACATCAAATACAGTGAGTGTTGTAAAGAGCAGACGGCGCCGCTTTCTAATTGCTCTTACAGTACTTTGATGTCATACACTGATCGTACTGCGCAGTGCTGCTTCAAGTCGAACACATAACTAGTGCGCATTAACATCTTATTTTTTTCAAGATTTGAATACCTTATTTTATTTGTTTGGCGGTTTTTTACCATTCAAATTTGGCTTTTCAAAAGTGGTTAACACATTTTTCTTTGGTGTGAAACTCAGAACACATTAATATTACTTTACACGGACTCTAAATATAACAAATAATTGTGTGTCTGACTGGTTTGTTTGTTTCAATTAATTATTAAATATAAAAATATAAGCATAAAAATAAGAGAAATGTGAAGGGAAAGACATAAAAATGTAAACCGTGCTGTAATATTAGAAAGACTACAATTGCTATAAAGTGATTAGAAACTACGTACAAATTTTTCCAACAGAATTTTATTTTAACCATTTTATTATATTTTTTCTCATCTATTTAAGCATTTTTCTTAATCTGACATCCATCCATTTCCAGATTTCTTGTCCTATGTAGGGTCATAGTGAGAGTTCACAGATTAGTGTTCACAGGTAGGGTTTACAACTACAAAAAAAAATAGATACCATTACCATACGTTCACACCGCCGGTTCACACATGGCAACAACGCTGTACAGTCGTGGCCAAAAGTTTTGGCAGTGACATAAATTTTGTG